GCATTGAAGACATGATCCCCAATGCAGCAGTGCTCAGAGGTGGAGCTTTCAAGAAGTGATTGGATCTGGAGAGCTTTGATTTCCTCAATGGATTAATCCACTAATGGGTTCATAATCTGATGGGCTATTGGAAGGTGATGGAAACTTAAAAGATAAGACCTAGTTGAAGGGAGTGGCTGTGAAGGGCTAGGTCTTGTCCCGGGTCCCCATCTCTCTCCCTCTGCTACCCAGCAGCCATAAGGTGAGCAGCTCTGCTCCCTGCCATGATATTCTGCCTCCCAAAGGCCCAAAGTAATGGGGCCTTTACTGATGTTTAATGACTGAACATGAACTGATACTGTGAGCCAAAATGCATTTTTCCCTCAAATTGATTTTCTTAGGTATTTTATTACAGCAATGGAAACCTGGCTAACATATCACCCCTCATCTACACACATTCAGAACTGGTAGACCACAGCCCTGAGAGGAAAGATACACTCACCCCCATTTTATAGTCAGGAGACTTGGGGGCTCAGAATGCAATTTATTTGTGGCTTCAGAAGACATGCTTTGTAAAGAAAGGCTCCAAGTATGAGGTTATTTTTACCGAGGCTACTGGGCCTGGGCGAGGGGAGGAAGGGGATCACCAGCCCCACTAGGGAAAGATGGTCTCTCTTTCATCAGTGTCAATGGGCCTAATGAAAGGGCCAGGAAGAGTCAGTGGAGCCTTCAGGCAACATTGAAGGACAAGTGGGTTCCGTTTGGGATTGTCTGGGAATCTCTAACTCAGGCTAGTGAGCCCTTCATCCTCAAGGCCTTAGATCATCCCTATGCTCGTCATTTTCCCCAGCCACCCCCATTCTGTCCTTTGTGGCCTTCTCCCCCACTCTGAGTCTGGCTGTGAGTGGTATGTAGCCCCAAGTTTCCTCTTTTTTATACCTCTGGAAATAAAGGCTGTTGGCTCTTTGATTCATCCTCAGATGGAAGCAGAGGAGTGTAAGCTCACAGACAGGGACGGATGGGTATTAGCCAGTGTTGGGGAGTCCTGTCTCCTGTTCTAACATATCAAGTGCAAACTAAAGCATTAGAGTGCACACTAGTGAGTGAAGATCGAAACCAGGCCACCCCTTCTCTCCCTGCCTTATATACTGTACTTTTAGAAGCTCAGACACAGAAGGGTGGGGAATATTGGGACCACCCAACGCAGCAAGTCTGGACCAATTCCAAATAAGCGAAGGCCTTTGGAGACCATGTCCCTGAGGAACCCATACAATAACTCAGGGCTCAGCCCTGGCACCAGGACTGGTGTTTTCCAGGGTAACTCAGCTACAAAGACCCTGGAATGAGACCCCTGGCACCCAGCACAAACTCAGAGCAGGGTCAGAGATTGCTGCTTGAGAAAGGAAGTGGAGTGCATGTTTGTGCTTGGCCAGCAACACATGGGTGCAATTAACTCCCCGCTCACAAGATGGCTGCACGTCCTCAAAAGTAAAGCAGAGCAGCAGGAAGGCTGAGAACCAGAAGGGCTGGCCTGTGGCCTCTGGCTTCTGGGAGGAGCCCTGTTTATCCCGGGATCCCTCTGGGCTCTCTTCAGGAGTGCGGTAAGTTACTCTGGTGTCCTCTATTCAGACAAATGTCACAATAGGAATCATAGAGCAAGACGTGGGCTTAGCTCTCTTATTCAGGGCTCCTGATGCTCTGTGGGCCCTGCCCACAGGCCTGGGAAGGGCTGGCTTTCCAACCCATGGTCAGGATGAGGAGGCCAAACCAACACATGTCTGCAGAAACACCCAGAAATGCTAGTCTCACTATGGGATCCCTAGGAAGGCCTGGGTCCTCCTCAAACAAAGCATTGTTCTCAGCCCTTTGTATTCCTACTTCTAATCACAATGATGCAATTTTGTTGCAGTGTGATGAACTTAATGTGAAACTATGCTATTTTCAAGTGATAAGAGAGTCATTAGATTTGGTGACAGCCTTTCTGAGGATCTTTGGGTTATTTGTACACTTATGACTTGGCCAGACATGCTTGATTGCTCTCAGTTGACAGCCATGACCATTGGCAGCTAATCCACAAAAGGGGTAGCCTGTGCCTGTCCCTGTTCTTATGCTGGCACCTGCTGGCACCTGCATCTTCAGAATTGCTGTCATGCTGCCCCATTGCTCCTTGCCACGCAACAGTGTCTGCTCCTTGGAAACTAGCTGGTTGCCAGGGGAACAGTCCACTACCCTGGTCCTCAGAGCCCATGTGGTCACAAGTATGCCCCAGCTACCTGCAGAGACTGGGTTATATCCCTTGCTTCTCCCCAAACTGGGGCCTCCCTCATTTCTGGTCTGGCAGTGGGAAGAGACAGTAATAAAGTTTTCTTTGAGTGTTGTTTAAAAATGACCATAAATTCCTTGCCACGTTCCCCCCTCTCCTGAATCTATGGCACCCTTAGAACCTGTTTTAACCAATAGAATATGGGATGGTGACCCCGTGTCAGTATCAGGCTAGGCACATGCTTGGGCCTGGAGTTATCAAGTAGCGGGTGCTGGGTTCACTGCTATTGAGATCACAGGAAAAGAGAGCTGTCACCAACCCAGCTGTCCTATCCCTCTCAGAGGTGAACCCCAGGGCTGAAGTGACACTATCCTGGAGCTCCAATCCTGATCAACTCCATATAATGGATGACTCCAGAAGAGACCCCCAGTGGAACCTAGCCCCACACAGAATCTTCAGTCAATAAATGTTGGTTTTGGCCACTGATCCTTGGGTGACATGTTATGCAGCAACAGATACCCAGAATATTTTGAGATCACCGTGTGTCCTCTAGGTGAGAACTGACCCAGGAATAGGAAAGACAATTGCTCTTAGCCACATCTTCAGAACCAGCCAACTTAAAACAAGGCAGTATATATCTAATACTCTTTGTTCCATCACACCATTTTTGTTATTAAACCTTATAGAGAAAAAAAGATAGGAAAAGTCCTCTAATCCAGATCCCATGGAAACTCAGGGCTCCTCACTGGGCATCTTCTTGCCAACCTGCCTCTGGATTGCCCCCAGATCAGCACTAGGGCTGCCTTCCTGGGCACTGTAAAGGTCACTGCATGCTCCCTAAAGCTATCTGTGTGTGACAGGGCTCTGGGAGGGTGGATCTGTTCAAGTCCTACAAGTTTGAATCTGGAAAAAGTGGGTCGGGGGTCTTCAGCAATACAGAGCAAGTCTCCATCACTCTGTGTGTCCAGCTTCCTAAGCTAGGGAGCCAGAAAGAACTTAAAATGACTCACCCAGAGAGCTCACTGAGACAGAGGCAGATCCATGTAAGGACAGCAGCCCCTTTGCACTGTGAGTACCTGTGCTGTGCCTGTCCCCAAGTCTCTGGAGGCCTGATTTCCTATAGCTCCATGGACTGAGCTTCAGACCTGGGAACAGTCTGTTCGTGGCCACAGTTTTCAGAGAAGGATGGCCCCGTATTCAGGAGCAATTCGGGATTCTTAGGCTAATTCTGATTAGCGCACTGATTGGGGAAAATGTCTGACTCTTGGTAGGCAGAGGGCCAGGATGCTGGATGCCCAGTGATGTCAATGTCTGTGAGTGAAGATTTGTCCTACTTGACTGTGAATAAAATACTGTTCATAGTTGGTTATCACGGCAAAAGTCTGTCACCCCAACAATTGAGAGGCTGAGGCAGGAAGATAGAGAACTCAAAGCCAGCCTGGCCTACATAGAAGAGCCTGTCTCAAAAAACCAAAACCAAACAACAATAAAACAACAAAAACTGTTCATGCAAGCCTGGGACCAGAGTCCATTTTATGTATAAATATAAGGTGTGTTTTTTTCCATTTAAATACACAACAAATGTTTCAAGGATACAAAAACAAGTAAAGAGTATAATTTTTTATTCGAAAACTTACCAGGAGTTGGGATTTTACAAGCTACTCCTAGAGTTTAAGGCACATCTACATCTGTCTATACTTGTTCCTGTCACATAAACACCAAGTTTTCATATAGACATAATTCTTATGTAGCTTTTGAGAGTCGGATACAAAGGATTATTGTCTTTTCTAAAACTCAGACTTATCAAAAGAGGTGCAATATCTAAAATTTATTTTACTGTGTTATAAATTATTTTCCTTCTTTTTCTTCTTTAACTATAGAAGGTTAAATATTGATTTTGGGGGAAGCAAGCAGCATATCTTACCTATGAATTTCATGTCAAAATATAAAGGGATCACTTAAAAATATTCATTGTAAATTGGGCATGGTGGCACACACCTGCAAATCCCAGTTACACAAAAGTGAGAGGCAAGAGGCTCTCAGTCTGAGGCCAGCCTGGGGCAAAACTAAAGCAAAAAAGGCTGGGGGTGTGGCTCAAGTGGTAGAGTGCTTGCCTAGCAAGCATGAGGCCCTGAGTTCAAACACCAATACCACCAAAAAAAAAAGGTAAATAAAATAAAAATTATAAAAGGAGTGCTGGGTAAACTATAGTTAAGAATAATAGCAATTAACTGGCCTTAATACATAATATATAAGTAAGGCCTTCTATAATGCATCCTCCAAATGTGGCCTCACACCAGCTATAAACACAGGTCTTATACCTGCTGCAGACATACTGCAACAGAGCCTGGGTTTGAGTAGATGAATGGTCTGCTCTAGAAGGTTTGGGGGCTCTGCTGTAAGGCTTTGGGACCCAGTTAAGGGGGACACCCAGGGCAACCATATGCAGCTCTGTGGCCCTCTCTCCTTGTCCCCACAGTGTGAAGGGAGGTGCCTGACTCCTAGGCTCACAAAAAGCAGGACCTGCCTTGCCTGGGCTATAGGACACTAGCCCACATTTGCTGATGGTGCCTGGGAACCACAGGAGCCTGGTAGACCTGTTTGGGGAGAACTTCAGCGAGGAGCTCCATGGAAGGCTGAAGGAAAATTCCTTTTTCAAGGTCAGCCCTTAGGTCTGTTGGACTTTGACTGGGACCTGAGACTCACCTCCATCACTCCCGTTTTGAGACCTTATCAAGGTCTTAAGCCATGCTGTCTGTCACATAGAGCCATGCAGGCTGCCAGCCAGGACTACAGGAGAATGTGGAAGGGCTGAGCCAGGGGCCTGGTCCATAGCAGGTACTCAGACAACACTTTCCACAGCTGAGCAGGGCTTTCAAATGCTAAGTGGGCTCCACCCTGGAGCCCACTTAGGGGCAGAGAGGGAGAGGAGCAGGGGGAAAAGCAGAGAGGAGGCAGCTGCAGTCCCATTCTCTGAAGTCTCTGTGAGGTCAGGAGGAGGGTGCCAGGTGCTCCATGTGTCCAGCTTGCCCTTCTTGGCCTTGCTTTATTTCCCTGGCCCTGCCTCAGGCCTCATGGGGCCTATAGCTCAAGTCAGACTATCACGCCAGAGTCCTGGCAGAGGCACCCTTAGAACACAGCCGGGTTGGACACTGCTCTGTGGATTCCAAACTCCAACAGCTGCAAGCAAAGTAGTTGGAAAACAAACCCATTTGTTCACCATTTGTTGAGCAACTGTCATGAGCCAAATTCTAAGAAAGATGTGTCACATGCATGGCCCCCTGCCTATACAGTATCCTCTGGAAGGGAGGCAAATGCCAATGCCCATATGTAACATGTGCCCAAGTTCAGAGAAGCAGTTGAGAGTTAAACAAGAGAAAAGTTTGGATGCCACTGATGAGGTGGCAGATGCCATGGAGGAAGCTCTCAGAGCTGGCTTTGGGAGACAGCACAGAGACACTCCCAGCTGGACAGATTATCAGAACTGCTGGACATGCAAATCATGAGTAAGAGGCAGGGACTCCAGAAAAAACAAGCAGCATTCATAGGGAGATGGGAATCACAGAGCTGTATGCCTGAGAAAGTAAGCAGATAGTGAGAATGGGAGTGACAGAGTCCAGGGAGTCACCGACACCAACAAAGGAGGTGAGAGGAGATGCTCAGGCTGTACAGAAAAAGAAGGGAGGTGGAGACTTTTCAAACCCCACCTGCCTGCCAGATGACAGTTCTTGACACTTGTTATAACTTCTCTCTAAGGAAGAACGTGTCAAACCTCTTTGTGACTGAAGAAACTCAAGTCCAGACAGTTTAGGAACTTGTCCAAAAACTCAGTCTTAAGAGGCTGAGCCAAAAATGCAATCTCAGCTCGTCCATGCCATGAGAATGTGGTGTAGTTAGGCTCCTCAGGAACCCAGTAAGGAAAGGGTTGGAGGAAATAGGGAATTTAGACAATGCCATAGTGGTCAGTTTATTTCGGCAGTGTCTAAAGGAAACACATGTTCTTGCTCACTTTGCTTACTATCTCAGGTAAATAATCCCTGACTCAGGATGCTTTTTCCACCAAGGTCATACTTTGCCTCAAATCTTCTGCCTCTCTGTGGGCGGGAGTCCAGACATGACCTTATGTGTTTTCTTACCTCTGGATTTCCTCTTGTGAAACACAGACTGCCAGATGATGACCAGGGTGAAGAGCAGAACACTGAGGATCCCCACGCAGCACACAAGGACGGCATATATGTAGAGATCTGAACAGCAAGGACACACTTGGGTCATTGTCACTGTATGCACATTAGGGGAAATGCATAGAAGCAGTCAAAACACAGAATTTTCAACATCCCCATACTTTAGTGGTCAAGGTAGTGTGTTACAGGTGAAGGGACAGATACAGATCCATGAAACATAATAGAGAGCCCAGAAATAGACCAATACAAGTATGCACAATTGATTCTTGATAACTGCAAAAGCAATTCAATTGTGGAAGGATAGACTCTTCAATAAGTGTGGGGTGATTGGACTTCCATGAACAAAATATAAAATTAAAATTAATCCCTCTCATTATATAAAATTTAACTCGACATGAGCCACAAGCCTAAATTTAAAATGTAAGCTACAAAATTTTTGGAAGAAGTATATGAGATAAATCTTTAGGATCTAAAACTAAACAGAGTGCTAAGACTTGACACCAGAAGTATCCTCCAAATAAGTAAAACCTGAGGACTTCGGTGTAGGCAGTGGTAGAGCTCTTACCTAGCATGCATGAGGCCCTGACTTTGATACCTAGCATTGCAAATTAAAAAGAAAAGATGTAAAACTTGACAAATTTGATTTCACCAAAATTAAAAACTTTTGTTCTGTAAACAACCATGCGAAAAAGTTTGAAAAGTCAAGCCACAGACTGGGAGAAAATATTTGCAAATCACATATCCAACAGAGGACTAGTATCTAGAATATAAAGAATTCTCAAAACTCAACTGTAAAAAAATACAGAATCCTCTTAGACAAATAAAGAAAACATACAGAGACACTTCACCAAAGAGAATATACAGGTGGCAAATAAATACTTCTACAGCCATTAAAGAAACACAAGGTGACACTACAGAGTGATACCTACATACCACTCAGAATAAAAAGTAGCAACACCACCAAACACTGGCGAGGATGTGAATCAACTTGGCTGCTCAGGCATGGCTAGTGGGAATATAAAATGGTGCAACTACTTTGGAAAACTTTTGGGAAATGAAAATGCCTGGATCTTTTCCTATTGGCTACTCAGTGTTTCTACCCATTGTGCTTTGTAACAAATGATTCTTGGATAAGCATTTATAAACTTGAACTTTAATACATACATCTCTTCTTAAGATTTAGTTCCTAGCAGTGGAATTTCTGAGTCAATAGGATCATACCTTCATAAAGCCCTTGGGGTTTAGAGAATCCAATAGGTAAGTACTTAAACTGAAAAGGCCAGTGTGCTGGTGGCAGCAAGTGGCAGGGGTGGCAGGTAACTGGCTTCCAAGGGAAGCCTGGAGACACAGGTCAGACTAGTAGTCAATTAAAGGTCAATGAAGGGGAGACAGGCAGGGCATGGAATCAGATATTCAGGTTCTTCCAACTCTCTCCTCTCTGGCTGAGGCCCCAGGAAAGCCCAGTGCAACCTCTGCCCCTGGAGTCCACGAGGTCCTCTCATTTTCTTAGAGTTGGTCAGCATTTTTGCCTCTGCCAGTTTGAGCAGGTTTTTGTTATTGGTCACTTGGAAGTCTAAACTAAAAATATACACACAAAAAAATACAGTTGGCCCTCTCTATCTGTAGCTTCCACATCTTGATTCAATCAAGCATGGGTTAAAATATTTGGAAAAAACTGTGATTGCACTGAACATGTACAGGACTTTTCTTGTCATTAGTCCATAAATCATGTAGTCTTGCAACTATCAATATACCTGACACTCTATCAGGTATCACAAGTCATCTAGAGATGATTTGAAGCATACAAGAAGATGTCCATAGGTAACGTGCAAATAGGACACAATTTTATATGCCATCCAAGGATTTGGTTATCCTGAGTGGGATGGTTGGGAAGTCCTGGGGCCCACTGATATCCAGGGGTGATTTAAGTAGAGAAAGACATAGGCTACAGCTGCTGGTGAAGGAGTCCCTCCATAATATTTAAGAGAGTGGGGCAGGTGGGTGGTAGGAAAGAAGAGTGTCCCAAAAAGGAATCCAGAGCCAGTCACAGAAGTACAGAGGAAGTACAGGGAGAGTTCTAGAAGCCAGGAGTAAACCATTACAAGAAAGATTCCTTAATAGCCTTAAGTGCTGCTGGAAAAAGACCCACTGGATTTTCCCACCCAGAAGCTACTGGGGAAGTCCTGGAGGAAGTCTGTATCAATGGAACAGATGGGGACAGAAGCCACATGAGAAAAGTTGGAGAGTCACTGGCAATGTGAGACCCCTGAGTTAGAAGCAGAGAACACTCTCTCCTGTTACTAAAATCAAGACTGTCTTTGTGCAGAGGCACTGTGTCGCCTGTGTGTGGGCTTTGTGGAGTGACTCAAAGGAAAACTGTGGAACAGTAGGTCAGGATAGTCTTGGTCCTCTATTTGAGCAATGTGAACTCAACAGTGGGACTCCTGGACTCTGTGGGATCAAAAGGCAGGGCAAGTTGGCCTCAGTTTCCCTCTTGGAAAGCTGTCTGTCTAAAGTTCCCATGCCACTAGAGCAGAGCAGCCTGACCCACCAGCTCACTTATTTATCAGGACTCCTTCCTTGACTTCAGACTGAGGGTACCAAGGAGGAACAAGCCTGTAATTCTCACTCAGGCATCCCCAGCACAACACTATGCTATCTGGGACCCAATCTATCCTGGCAGGAGGCAAAGGGCTCAAGGCCCAGTTACGGTGTCAGAGCTCAGCCTCCTCCATGTGGCACAAAGGGAGCTCACTCTCCACAGGCAGCCAGGCTACAAAATCATAGAACATCTGGCCGGTCTGAAGGCTCAGCTGCTCCACAAAGCACACAGGCCCTGAGGGCTGTGGACACTGGCCAGCAGGACCGCCCGCTTGCATTGGCTCTCCACACACACAGGATTAGCCAGGTTTGCTCTTGGTACTGTTCTGTTCTTGAAGTTACAGGAACCCTAAAAAGTGTTACTTTACAAAAGAAGAAAAACTCCAACACCCAAGTTTCCCTTAACTGAGCAGCAACCTGTAGTGATAATTTTTCTTCTGTTCTAAGCATTCCTTTGCTGTATAAAGAGAACCATCCCGCTGAGTCGGTTCAAAACACTAACAGCACCTCCCTCTCCGCACTGTTCCCTGCAAACAAAGGCTAAACCCATAGCCATTGAAGCCAGGGTCACAAAATCCTAAGACTCCAGGGACACCTTTTCACAGTGACAGCTGGGGCAAAGTAGCACATATCCTGGGGACTGTTCTCAGGCTGGAATGCAGCCTGATGCTATCCTGTCTTCCCACTTGTCCTTTAACTGTTTATGTAAAAATCTCTCTAATTAGAAATGTTGACTCAAGAGTTCCAAAAGTCAGACCTGACCAAACAATACTTTCCCAAAGACTGAACTAAACCTTGGACTCAAATTTAACAAAGCATTTGCACTTAACCAAATCTGGAATTAGCTTTTAAAATACCATAGGGCTGGGGTTGTGTTCTAACTCAGTGACAGAGTATATACCCAGCACGTGCGAGCCCCCTGATTTGGTCCCAGCAGGGCAAAAAATAAATTAAATCAAATAAAATGCCACCTATACCTGGACACTCAACAGTAAACTCTGTGAGTATAGTCTCTGAATCCATTTGCAGTTTTATCTTTTGCCACTGTACTTCCAAAGGCACCATTGCCATTTTTAGACTAACTGCAGAAAATGCCCAGGCCTCCCTGAAGCAGATGGTGGGGCCATCAGGCTGCAGTAGCTATGCACACCACAGAGAGGCCGACACAGGGTGACAATGTGGAATGCCAGTTCCAGCCCACTCTCAGACTGCTCTATCCAGCTTGGGCAAGGCCGCCAGCACCTGTTGCCTGGCAACCCAGCAAGGGTATTCAGCCCTGCTTTAATACAGGGGAGTCAAGGAGTTGTCCTGCTTCCACCACCCCCACAACCACTGGATCAAGAAAGCCAGGGTGAGTATTCTACATTTCCAGGGCAAACTTGGCAGTTGTGGCAATAAAACTTGTGTCTGCTGTTTTTTAATGCAACCTGTAATACCATTTCTCTCAGGGCCAAATGCCTGCCCAATACCTGAGGGATTTTAACTCACTCCAGCGTCTCTTCAAGAGGAGGCTGACAATCAATGCTTGTTTTGTTCATCCGGCACATAGCCAGGCCGAGCTAAGCCCCAGGAGGATGGATATCTGTCAGCAACCCACACTGAAGCGCTCCCATCCAGGGACAAAAGGCCAAAAGGCCTGGAATCTTGCGCCAGGGAGTTTCAACTGTACCCTTGACCTCTCCAAAGCTGTGGCCAGTTAGAAAAGCAAAACACACCGATGCTGCCGCTGCCGAAATCATAGGAAAAGAAGGCTTGGAACCCGCAGCTCTGGGGCGGGCATGATGCATTCCGAGATGTTGAAGGGCCATGACTGCCTCCATTGAGAGGATGCTGGGCTACAAGTTTCACAAGAGAAAGATGTTGTGGTAATGCTGATATTTCTGTGGCTGCATGGGATTTATAAAATGTTGTTAACTATGTTGTGTTTTAGAGATTCTGCTGCCAGATGGAGGATATTTCAGGACTAAATGCTACCGTTCTTCCAAATGTATAAGGTCTTATTTTTTGTACCGTATGGTCTTCAGACCTCTTGCATCAAACCCACCTTGGACCTTGAGAAAGTGCACATTCTTTCATCCCTTTCTAATGTGATAATCAGAACCTCAGAGGTAGGGCCCTGGGTCTCCCCAGAGGGTAGATGTCACACAGGGCTCCCTCTGGCACATCCCCCAGTGACCTGCCTCAGGGACCCCCCAAGCCATCTCCATAACCACCCACATCACAGTGCCAGGTCATAGGGCAGCTCCAGAAACTTGCATAAACATCAGCTAGCTTGCCTCAGTATTACTAAATTGCAATGAGGAGGGAAAACCTTGCTTTTTTTTTTTTTTGCTTCACTCCATGGGGAATAAACATCTTTTTTGTCTCTGCCCAAGGGAAAGCAAAATAAGACACAGAGGGAGGGACCTGGATATTCATTTGCTATGTAAAAGTAATCAGATAATGAAAAGCTGTGAATGGTGCAGAAGAAAAGTCAGGGAATACAAAGAATCACTTCTGGAGTAAAATCCAATCTGAAAAATGAGCTACTTATGAATGTAAAACTAAACAATAACTCCTAACAAAGCGAGTGACTTACTCTTTACAGTTGTCAAAAGATGTTCACAATTAGAAAGAAGGTGACTCTGTGCACTGCTTTATAACAGCTACTGAGAGAGGTCCTAAGGCCTGCTTGCCTTCTGCTGCCGCCTCTCCCCCCACACCCCTTCACAAGGGATGATGGGAGGCCCCAAGGCACATGCCTCTCCTTAGAGTCTTTTGGCTGTCATCTTTCTTCAAGACTCAACATAATCCTTCTGAACTTCCTGACCTCCTTTAACATTAACCAATCTTCCCTAGATCAAAGGCTCTGCCTGAGAACTTACAAAGTACACGTGGCCATTGCTCCTGGTCCCAATCCTCAGTCACATTCTGATAATAATTTCTGTAAACTTTCCTTTCTGCAAAGCAGGGCTGTGCAACCTCAGCCCCCTTGAACTTAGGTCAGAATTCTTTGATCAGTCACTGTGCTGGGCAGGGTAAGATGTTTAGCAGCATCCCTGGCCTCTACCTACTAGATGCCAGTGGTACCCTCCACAGTCACGGCACTCAAAAATGCCTCCAGATTTCAGCCAATGTCCCCTGAAGGAGCAAAACAACACCTGATGAGAACACTTACTCTAACACTCAAACTTGAGTTTATGCATTAGAGTCACCCAGAGGTCTACCTTGTTAAAACTCACATTGCAGGGTGCCACCTCCGGAGCTGTGACTCTGTAAGCAAGGGCAGGGCCTGACAGCCTGCACTTGTTTCCAGCTCCCAGGTGCTATGATGGCAGCTGTGGCTGCTCAGGGCCACACTGTGGGAACCACTTCTCAGGCTGTGCTTCCTAGCTGGCTGTATGCTGGAGGCATCCGGGGAGCTGCTAACAAGTTCCAACTAAACCACACTTCTAAAGATTTGGTCCAGGTTTCAGTGCTGCTAACATTCTGGAATGATTCTAACATAGGTTGCAAACCAAGGTTTTCAACTCCTTCTAGAACCCCAAAATCCCGTAAGTGACCCCAAATTAAAGGTGGTCACAGTAGATATACTTTTTATTTTTAGATCACTTGCAGGCCCCTCCCTAATATGGCCCAGGAGTGGGGATTCTGGAGCAAAACAAAAGCAGACAAACAGAAATGATACAGGTCGGTGCTTTAACCTCTGCCTTTTCCAAAGCTGTAGATTGAGACCACCAAGAAGGCGCATTGTACTCGTGAATAAGGTTAGGCCAAGAAAACTACTTGTTATGACAAAACTAAGAAACTAGAGTCCTCTCTTCTTTTTCCATTCCTTTCCTATTGTCTAAAAGTGAGGCTGCATCTTATAATAAGGAAACATGCCAGGCTTACCTTCAAAAAATGCCCAGGTCTCTTTCTTTTTCTCAAAGGACGAGTCTTCAGAAGCTTTGAGGGAAATCACTAGAAGACAAAAGAGAGAGCCCAGCATGAAGTACTATAGTTTTCAGTGTACCCCCAAATAATGCCACAGGGTACCTACAATACTTAAATTTGTGAAGTAATTTTCACACTGGCAAAACCACACATCAAGGAGAAGTGGTACGACGACATCCAACAGCTGAGAAACTTGGTGCCCAGGAGAGGGAAGTAAGTTGTCTGTGTTTAAAAGCCCGTAAACAGCAAAACTGGGATACAGTTCAATAAAAACCCCACTTGGTCTATATATTTGCAAAATAAAGCTTCCTCCTAGGGAGTTTAAGAGCAAAACACAGCTATCCCATTCTAGTGGTCTTTCTGAACTGGGGAATATTGCCAAACTATTCCTAGATAGAGGAGTTTGGAGCCCTATGATGACTTGTGTCAGTCCCCACAGCCCCATTCTCCATGCAAGACAGCCTTACAGAGCAACAGGTCCCTGACTCTGAGATTGTTTTGTCTTCTTTTGGGTGGAGCAGTACTGAACTCAGGGTCTCGTACTTGCTAGGCAGGTAATCTACCACTTGAGCCACTCCACCAGCCCTTTTTGTCTTCATTATTTTTGAAATAGGGTCTCACTTTATGCCTGGGCCAGACTGTACCACCACCCTCCTATTTGTGCTTCTCCACGAGCTGAGACGACAGGCATGTTCCACTGGACCCAGCCATTGGTTGAGATAGGGTCCCCCAAACTTTTTTGCCTGAACCAGCCTCATACTGCAATTCTCCCAATTTCTATCTCCTAAGTAGCTATGACAACAGGCTCAAGCCACCGTGCCCAGCCTATATTAGTCTTCTTTCAGTTGGTAGTTGATCACTAGATTTACTGTGCTTGCTCTCAAGAGGCAGGAAAAAGAATTGAATTACACTATTGTAAAACCTCGAAGGGAAAGGGAACCATAGAGAGGTTGCTTGCACAGGGGTGTGACATTTGTCACAGGTAAAAATCTAAAAATTAAACTGACAAAAACACCAGGGAATGAGACTATTGTTAAATGTAACTGTCTAGGATGATGGAAGTGTTCTCTTGCTGCACAGTCAAATAGAGTAGCACTGGCCACATGTGATTTGAAATGTAGCTAGTCTAACTAAGGAACTGAATTTGCAATTAAATTTAATTTTAATTAATTTAAACTTAAATAACCACATGATCAGCAGCTATCAAATTGGAGAACCCTAGACAAGAGAATCTAGGACTGGAATTTAAAAAAAAATGTAGTTGGAATGTAGATAGAATCAATATGAAGTGAAAGCATATAGCAAAGATGGCCTGGAATTTCAATTACTGCACTTCCCACAAATTTTTGAATTATTATTGCCATGGATATGAATTTTCTGTCCTTTTGTCTTTATGGACACTGCACTGGATATTTTCTATTGATCTGTCTTCTAGATTACTGATGTTCTCTTCATCTGTGTCTAACCTGTTACAAAGCCCTGCTATTAAGTTTTTATTTTCATTTGTTGCATCTTTCAGTGTTACATTATCTGTTTAATTCTGTTTTTATACCCCAGTCTTCTAATGGATTTCTCCAGGTTGTCATCCAATTTCCTAGCCATATTAATAACAAAATTTTAATGGCCATGGCTGATAACTTTCACACCTGCATCATCCACAGACTTGTTTCTGTCATCTGCTTTCCTTTCTGTCTTGTCTTTTGGTATGTCTGATACTTTTTTCCTAACTGAATGGTGACATTGTTAGGTGGAAAATCATTAGAACACTAGACAAAATTGTAGTTTCCTGGTAGGAAATTAGAGAAGGTTGATGGTCACCTTAATCCAGTCAGGGTTGAACTATTTAGAGATTGGGTTTTAGTTTTCTAAACTTGTTTCTTGTTTTCCCTTTCTCTTCAGAAGCTTTGGTCCTTCAGGGATCTCCAATGGGAAACTTGTAGTATTTATCACACCCCTGCCCAGTTTCTATCTCGCTGTTAGAAATGTCAAAAACTCATTTTTTCTCCCAAACATCCTGGCTGTCACTGATTTCAAAGTCTCTCAAACAGCACATGCTTAAGTGTGGTTAAATTACTTAGAGTTCAAAGTCTCTGACAATTGGACTACATCACTGCTTTGTTTCTAGAATCTATTAACCTATCTAAAAATAATTTATATATATATATAATTGCACAATTATGTAATACAGATGTATTTGTGAAATATAGCTATGTAATTCAGAAAGCAGAAATGCAAATAATTTTTTCTTTCAGCTTTCCTAATTGTCCTCAGAAGGAGGGTTTTGCTCAGCTATTAGCTAGTCTGACATTACCAGACAACTCCTTTCCCATGAGAACCTAAATTCTTTAAAATCAGTAGTAATATCTTATGCTTCTGTATCCCCACCATATTTCCTGTTAGGTGGTAGGTGAATAAATGAGTGGCCTATTTCTTTTTGACTGCCTTACACAAAGTAAGCAATCTGGACCTCCAGGAATGAACTGTTAGTGAATTCTTAGTCTTGCATGTCACCTAAGATAATTCAGACAATTTATCCATCAACCCAGCTTCCCCTGTCTGCTTAATATTCTCTAATCAGAGCCCTGTAATCTCCTGTCTGACAGATCAACTTATCAGATTTCCTTATGAGAACTTAAAATAAGAGAGCATGTAAAAGGCTATTGTGTGTGGCCTTGAGTGGGTCTGAACTACTGGGTGGACTTTGGGGTGAAGCAGCCATGTTGAAAACAATTGTGCTGAATGAAGCAGAGGAGAAAAACAGCACAGATGAAGGTGGAGGGAAGAAACTTGAACTCTACCATGCTCCATATCCCAAGAAGCCTGATTTATTGCTTACCATTATTACAATCCATGAGTTCTGCAGCCTTAAACCACTCCCCCTTTCCTTAATTGGCTTGAATGAGTTTTCATGGCTCCAACGAATTGAGCCTAAACAAGGACAACTGCACAAAGTCCTGATAAAGACAACACAGAAATGGGTAATAAACACCCCTTGTAATGAGCATAATATTCAGGAGGTAAAAGGCACCCATCAGAGTCCAGAGCCTCATCACTTCAGTGTGGTCCAGGGACCAGAAGCATTTCTGGGAGCTTGTTAGGAGTGCAAATGCACAGTCCCCACCCAAGATCTACTGAACCAGAGTCGCTTTTCACCAGAGCTGCTTTTCAACCCCAGTATCCTGGTGAGTCACAAGTACTTTGAAGTATGAAGTGCATCAGGCACCTGGCTTGCAACACTAAGTTGCCAGTTGCTAGTTATGGGACCTCATGTAAGCCGTTGAATTTCCTGGTGCCGTAGTTTACAATGGGGATGATGATAAGTGGCTATGACAGAATAGGTGTGTTAATCCGTGTGAAGTGCTCCAAACAATGCCAAGACCTACTAAGCATCTCTACCCACAAGGATGTGGGAATAGGATTCCTGTCTACTTTCTTCACTGCTCTAATTCCATGCATGAATCTCCAGATAGTCAACATGAAAGGGTTCCCCATCCTTGTGGCTAAGTCTCTACAACTGGAATGAGCTGCTATTGTACCAACTAAGGCCAACACCTGCAGACCACTTTCAACCATCTTTCAGAGGCAGAAATTGTGGACTGTTGATTTATGGAAACATCTTGATAAATCTCACAAACCAGGGTTCTAAACTAATGGGGCTCTAAGTAAGGGATTAGTGGAAGTTCCTCATTTCCTCCTGTGAGATTTTACGGGAAAAGACAGCAACTTTGTTTGGTGTCAGAAGATTAGTGATACCAGTCATAATCTTATCTCTTCCTACGAGAAAGAAAAATCTTCATATGGGACCCTGCCAAAGCTTCAGGAATTTTCCCAAGGTTCTGCTGCAACTATCTTGTTTCAGCCGCTAATCTGTTGCTATCTCCAAGTGGATTTGAGACATTGTCAAACTATGTGTCTGAGTCCACAGACAGTAAGGAAACAGAGTTGTTGCATGTGGTCAGGCTGGTAGCCAGTGCTTTGTCCCGAACAATCCAATAAAAGAATAATCTTCTTTTATTAACACATCTTTCCCCACAGCAGAGCTCATACAAATTGACTCATACAAATTGACCTTGGTCAACCTGTCCTGTCAGCACTGAGCAGAAGAGGCCCCTGCAGGGTGGACCAGCTGAGAAACAAGAAAACGCTTTAAGAAAGTATTTTTTTGAGGGCTGGGGGCATAGTTCAGTGGTAAAGCACATACTTAGCATATATGAGGCTCTGGGTTAGATTCCCACCACACAAAAATAATTCTAGACCAAGGAAAACGGGGCACATGTTCCAACCAAAGATCACTAATGTTAGTCAAAGACCTCCTGATATAAAATGCAGATCTCCTGATCGAAGAGCATTTCTAATCGTTTCCCATGAGGTCAGCCACCAGAAGGCTACAGCCTCTTTAACAAGAGACAGTAAGTCTATCTACTTTGAACTGAGTTTCCCACACCCACCCTGTGACTCAGCTGGTTGCTCAGACAATTAGGGAAAGGCAGCAAAGGGCCCTACATGCCCAGGTTTTTGGTCCTTCTAAGCACCAGTCAGGGAAGCTGGAAGTCCTGCCCTCCTCACAGCCACCAGTGGGTTGTCTTGTAGGGCCATGATGGAAGCTGGGCTCCCTAAGGGGCAAATACTGTGCGGTCCCTTGGTAAGGTCTTCTCACCCCAGCTGCTATGCGTGTGACCTGCTTCTTAGGGGACCACCCTCTGCCTTTCTCCCTCCTCCCTGCACCCAGGGGCTATGAGGGGGAGTAGTGCAAGGAACAGGAATCCCAATATGACCTTGGCTCCAAATCACTTTCTGAATACAGCTTTATCAAGAATAAAGGATTTGGATTTGTTTGACTCCTGCACTCACTGATCAGTCAGCTTGGGGCTCACATGGAGAAGAGGAACAAAGAGTGCTCAAAAGTTAAGCCATCACCTGACCCACTGCTTGCTGCTCATTTCCTTGGAACCTGGCACTCAGTAAGCAGAGCTGTCAGTCCTTCCATCAGCTGGGCCACTGTCCAAAAGACTGAGCTGTTGGCCAAC